CAGCGGGGTAAATGCAACTTCTTCAATTGAATGAGACGAATGAGTTCCGGAATTATGCTTATGAAAATGCAAAGATCTACAAAGAACGGACGAAGAAGTGGCATGACAAGCAAATTCTCAGGCGTGAGTTCGCACTAGGAAAATAGGTTTTACTCTTCAATTCATGGCTCAAACTCTTTCGGGGCAAGTTAAAATCAAGATGGGCAGGTCCTTACACAATTGATAAAGTTTCCTCTTTTGGAGCAATAGACTGGAAGAACAAGACAGGGAATATATTCAAAGTTAACGGTCAGAGATTGAAGCATTATTATAGAGAACAACTGGAGAGGAACTGTGCATTTATTCCTCTTGGAGATGCTAATTGATGAAGATTGAAAAGTCTGGCTGTAAACATTAGAACAAGCGCTTATGAGAGGTAGCCCATAGAACTTTCTTTTATCTATTTATTCTTTAATAATTTGGATGTTGATGCAGGTTTATTTAGCATGAATAAAGAGCTGAAAATTACAAACTACGGTTGATTCACCATGAAACCAGGGAAGTTACTTTCATTTCTTCAATCTATTTCATTTTTTGCATTACAATGAGGACATTGTTTAGTTTAAGTTTGGGGGTGTAAACTCCTATAGTCATTTGGTCTTCTTGTTTGCTATTTATTAGGAGTCATTTGGTCTTCTTGTTTGCTATTTATTTTATTTTACTTGTGATTTTATAAGTCTTGAGTTGTTGGATTCTCTTATCAAGCATGTATTTGAGTATAATTGAATTCCCTATGACTTTGAAATTTGTGATTGAGGATGGGATTGAGAAAAATTTTCAAAAATTTCTTTTATGTCAGGCTGAGTTTTGTTGGTACTTTGATTTAAATCTTTGTCCTTGAACATAATTGAGCACATAGTCATTTTTTTTCTTTATTCCATTTTGCTTATGAAGAGAAGGAGTTGAATTAACTGGGTTGGGGAAGTTCAATCTTGCTTTGCTCTAGAATCCGTTGATGGATTCTTGAGTCGAAATCCTAGTTGATACCAAATATTAGAGAAATGATCAAGGCAATTTCTTTGTTATTACCAAAAAGCTTTCCCAGCTGTCCTGATTATCATGCTATCATTGCTTGGTGTATTCCCATAGTCAACCCCCTTGAGCCTTATTTTACAGAAGCCTTTATTTGTTCTTTTAACTACATAAGCCATTCCCGTTCTAAGCCTAAAAAAAACTATGATTTACCTTTTATAGTTTGAGAAAATACTTTGGTGGAAATCTACATTTAAAGAGAAAGTTAGTTCAAATGATCAAAGTGTATGAAAAGAGAGAGAGAGAGAGAAAAGTGAACAAAAAAAAAGGGTCGAAATGGTTGAAGATTTGAAAATGCCACAAGAATTGAGGTGGCTGAATGAAAAAGGTGGGAGGCTGGTTAAAATATATATATATATATATATTATTGTTGGGTTTGTCTTTTATTTAGAGGTGATTTATCCATCATGGCAAAAAAAAACAAAAAAATAGAGAAAACTCGATAAGTGGAGTGCAAATCACTTCAGATTTTGTTGAAGGTGTAGTTGGTATTGCTTCATTGATTACAACAACAATATTGTCATCAGTATGAGTATATAGTTGAGGAAGAGTTATGGTTAGAATCCAGTTTGTTTTGATTTACCATATCCATTTCTTTCTTAGCCCTCAACCTGCGGCCTGTCATTACAACCTGATTAAAGACCTTTTGATCTCTAATTTTGGTGTTTGACTACATTAGTGGAGAGGATTTTTGAAAATTAGACTTATGGGGTTAAGTTTTGAAAGAAATATTCTGATTTCAGTTGTTCTACCTTTATCTGAGTTTGCAGGTGGTTTGAAGTTAAATTGACAATATCACACACACACTCAAGGTCTTAGCTTTAGGTTGAAATAAACGCTTAACTCTTACTTGACAAATTGTTAAATTTTTAATTGATTTTCCTTCTATCTTTATTGATAAAAGAGTAAGATACTAGTGATGATATCTAATTCAGATCATGGCTTGGTGAGTGATGAAACTTCTCTGTGGGGTCTAGTTGATAGTTTGTAGTGGTCTTTTATTTTTTTTTTATTCTTTTTGTTTGAGGACAAACAAAGTTGTAATTTTGGGGGTGTTTGATGACTTGCATAATTTCTTATATTTTATCACTTCTTAACTTTAAACTTTAGTCTAATTTTATTTATTTTTGTTGATTTTAGGCTTCATTGTTGTTATTTAAATTTATTTCAGATTTGAAGAAAAACAAAAGGAGATCCAATTTTACAAGCCCATGGTCTAGTGACTCATTACCATTTAAATGAAGAGTTTGGCACTGATGAGAATGCAAAATGATGCAAATTGAGACGTTGAATGCAAAACAAAGCTAATTGGCCGATTTTGGATTGTTTCGACATTGCTTTGTTATCTGGGCATAACTCTCTCATTCGAGCTCTGATTGATATGATTCAAGATGCTATGGAATGCTAAGAACATGTTCTACAACTTTCATGTTTTGAGTTTTGAGAGATATTGGCTGAATCAAGGTCAAAATTGGGCTTGAAGTTGCAACATGTGCACTATTCTGTTCATAGTCCTAGATATATTAGGACTTTATTTTATTTTTAATCTGATTTTAAAAGAGTCATACTAGAACAGGGTTGTAGAGGAGAAGAGGGAGTAATGGATAAAGAAAGAAAAAAAAAAAAAAAAAAAAGCAGCAACTTGGAGAAGGACAACAGCGAGTTGCGAAGGCTGGGAAGGCAACAGTATTTTCCAGTGTTCATTTTCTTCCATTCTTCTCAGAAAAATTATGGTGAATTCATTTATGTTAAATTTAATTTTTAGCATGAACTAAATTTTCTTTATTCTAGGAAAACAATGTAATCTAATTCCGAACTATGCTTGCTTTTCTGTGCTAATTTGAAGTTAATTTCTTTCATGTTTGTCTGATTTATTCTGAGCTTATTTCTTCTAATTAACTGGCCATTAATTGGATGATTTTGATCTTGCAATTTGCTATCGAAAGAGGGAATTATAGCATAGATCTTGGATATTTTGGCATAGGTAAATATAGAGATCGAAAGACTTGTATGAACCTATGTAGTATTAAAATCATTGGTCTTAATACTTTATTGTTTTATTAATTTGCATATTCTTGTGTAAAATGATGAACAAGAATATTTCCAAATTGACTATCGAAATAGGCTTTTGGATGAATTGGAGATTTGCTAACAAATAGAGANGACTTATGGGGTTAAGTTTTGAAAGAAATATTCTGATTTCAGTTGTTCTACCTTTATCTGAGTTTGCAGGTGGTTTGAAGTTAAATTGACAATATCACACACACACTCAAGGTCTTAGCTTTAGGTTGAAATAAACGCTTAACTCTTACTTGACAAATTGTTAAATTTTTAATTGATTTTCCTTCTATCTTTATTGATAAAAGAGTAAGATACTAGTGATGATATCTAATTCAGATCATGGCTTGGTGAGTGATGAAACTTCTCTGTGGGGTCTAGTTGATAGTTTGTAGTGGTCTTTTATTTTTTTTTTATTCTTTTTGTTTGAGGACAAACAAAGTTGTAATTTTGGGGGTGTTTGATGACTTGCATAATTTCTTATATTTTATCACTTCTTAACTTTAAACTTTAGTCTAATTTTATTTATTTTTGTTGATTTTAGGCTTCATTGTTGTTATTTAAATTTATTTCAGATTTGAAGAAAAACAAAAGGAGATCCAATTTTACAAGCCCATGGTCTAGTGACTCATTACCATTTAAATGAAGAGTTTGGCACTGATGAGAATGCAAAATGATGCAAATTGAGACGTTGAATGCAAAACAAAGCTAATTGGCCGATTTTGGATTGTTTCGACATTGCTTTGTTATCTGGGCATAACTCTCTCATTCGAGCTCTGATTGATATGATTCAAGATGCTATGGAATGCTAAGAACATGTTCTACAACTTTCATGTTTTGAGTTTTGAGAGATATTGGCTGAATCAAGGTCAAAATTGGGCTTGAAGTTGCAACATGTGCACTATTCTGTTCATAGTCCTAGATATATTAGGACTTTATTTTATTTTTAATCTGATTTTAAAAGAGTCATACTAGAACAGGGTTGTAGAGGAGAAGAGGGAGTAATGGATAAAGAAAGAAAAAAAAAAAAAAAAAAAAGCAGCAACTTGGAGAAGGACAACAGCGAGTTGCGAAGGCTGGGAAGGCAACAGTATTTTCCAGTGTTCATTTTCTTCCATTCTTCTCAGAAAAATTATGGTGAATTCATTTATGTTAAATTTAATTTTTAGCATGAACTAAATTTTCTTTATTCTAGGAAAACAATGTAATCTAATTCCGAACTATGCTTGCTTTTCTGTGCTAATTTGAAGTTAATTTCTTTCATGTTTGTCTGATTTATTCTGAGCTTATTTCTTCTAATTAACTGGCCATTAATTGGATGATTTTGATCTTGCAATTTGCTATCGAAAGAGGGAATTATAGCATAGATCTTGGATATTTTGGCATAGGTAAATATAGAGATCGAAAGACTTGTATGAACCTATGTAGTATTAAAATCATTGGTCTTAATACTTTATTGTTTTATTAATTTGCATATTCTTGTGTAAAATGATGAACAAGAATATTTCCAAATTGACTATCGAAATAGGCTTTTGGATGAATTGGAGATTTGCTAACAAATAGAGAGAATTAATTTCAATTAGTTAGATGTGTAAAGCATAGTGAGTGATTAGGTGAAATCGATTTCCTAGAAGTTTTCTTTCCCATTGATTGAATCTTCGAACACCATTTTTCTTTTCCTTTGAGTATTTTCTTGAATTAATTTTATTTTAAATTGCAATTACAAAAATCTTAGTGACTTTTCTAAATAAAGTCAAGATTAGTATAAATTTGGTATTTGTCAAAAGGAAGTTACCAATCCCTGTGGACGATACTCTTCTCATCATTTTACTATAAAACTACGATACTGTACACTTGCAGTTTTGCATCGATCAGATATCACGAATAATTTTCACCATCTTATTTAACTCAAACACTCCTTCCTTGACTGGTTCTATCCTCTTACAATTCCCACCGCCAAGCCAAATCTCATTCTCAAAGTTATGTGGCGTCGAGGTCCTATAAAAGATCATCTCCTTGTGATTGGAGGTCACAATGAAGTTGAAAACATCCCTGAGGACTTTGCGATGAGCAAAATCGAAACCAAGCTCTGTTGGGTTCTTTCCCGGACAGTAATGGTAGCCCAATATTTTGTTGTTCTCATAGTAGATGGCACCTTTAAAAAACCAGTGACCGATAGAGAACACAATGTAATCCAGTCCCTGATATTGTTTAGTCCATGTCTCTCCCTCCCCATAAATCACAAATGATTTACACTTGGAAATTGATAATGCATTTTCTTTGAAGCAAACTATCAAACACGTGGTGGGTGTTGAGGATATGAAGGGGTGGAGGCAGAGTAGGAAGGGGAAAATGAGAGAGGTAAGAGAGAAGTGGTATGTTCAGAGTAAAACTTTACATGTTCAAAAAATCCAGAGTGTACCTGAAACAGAGGATCTTCTATGTCTGCCTTTCTCCTCTCCTTCTCTCCTATGCCTTTCGTTTGTCTCTATGTTTGTTGTAGCTGTCCTAATGCCACTATTAAGTGTAAGATTTGAGATTGGGAGAAGATTTGAGATAGATTTCATATGATAGAGACGTGATAGATTGGGAGAGAGATAGAGGCAAGCGTGAAAGGGAGAGGCGTGTGTGAGCGAGATAGAGGTAGAAAAGAGAGGGAGAGGCGCGAGATAGAGGGGCGCATCAGAGATTGAGGCAGAAGTGAGGGGGAGAGGCATGAGACAGAGGCCTGTGTTGAGTGGGAAAAAAATATAGTACTCATTACTGACCGTTAAATCATAATTTTTGAGATGATTTGAACTGTCTTTTATGCTGAGATTATACTGTCCGTTAGATGTGTTTATGTTTTATCTCAAAACGATCTGAACCTCTCTTTGTCTTTTGGATTCAAATTTCGTTCTATTGTATTATATAGATAATGTTACTGATTTCTTGATACAGATTTATTTATTTGAGGGTGTAAATTGAGATTTTTTTATCTTTGAGAGTGTAAATTAAGATTCAAACAATCTTTCGATATACAATTTATAATTAACCCAATTTCATATAAATTTAAAAACCACAAGGTCCTTCTCGTAAACAGTTCAATAAATAAGACCACCTAAAGGGAAAAGGTGGAAAATTATAATCTTTTAATGAATACTTAATTACATTCAAGATGTATTAGATCATTTTTGGACGTTACTTGGTCTGTAAATTTGACATTTAAGTTGCATGTGCATCAAATATTCAAGCTATATTGTGTATTAACTCATGGCCTAGCCTGAACTATTGACAGCTCCATGGTCTACCCATGGAAAAACACATGTCATTGATTGGCGGACTAAGCATGTCTGACCCTTCAAGGCATAGTGAGTCTAGTGAAAATTGGGTTAAGATGTTCAAATTTCTTAGCATGGTTTACATTGAAAGCACAAAGTTGAAGATTATAAAGGCAATTTTAGACTAAAATTTACTTTTACGACCCTGTTTTCTTCTTAATTAAGGGCGTCGTGAGACATGCAGAGATGGCAAAGCCTAGGCAAAGAGTAATTGGAGTCAAGCTGGCTCTGAAGATGGGTTTTAAAGATCACACTCACCAAAATTTTTACCGAATCTCTTCACAATAAATTGGTATGAGTTGTTGAATTAATGATGCCACTAACACCAACTAAATATTCGATACTTATCATTTGGTACAAAGATTTTGGTGTACATTGCTTCTTCTTCTTCTTTTTTTTATTTCTGATATGGAATATTATTTTTTAAGAAAAAAATTAGCTAAAATTGTGCTCTTTAAAATAATTTTGCAAAAAACAAAAAGTAAATAAATTTACTTCACAAAATGAGTTATTTAGACAAGTGCCTATTTTTGCATTTTCTTTTTGTATATTGCTCATTTAGATGGAATAATGTTTGTTGTCCAACGTTGACAAAATTGTTGATAAATGAGAACGATCGCAGAGGTGATTTTATCTTTGAAATTACACATATATCTATACTACTTCTAAATATCAATATCAAAGAAAAAATTTTGAATACCTAATTTATCCTTCTCAAAATGCATAATAATATCACCATCCACTCTTCAAGATTCACATTTATTATATTTCCATTATGGTTATTAGTAATGATATAGTGGCATCCACAATGTATCCTCTTATTGAAAAACTAAAGATACTCATCTCTCCTTTACATTACCCAGTGAACAAGAAACTAATCAAAGTCACACTAACATTGATGTCACTATTATTATTATTTATAATATGAAAATTTACTCTCTCTTTTTACTATCCCTACTAAAACAATCCATTTAGAAACTAGAGATACTCATCTATCCTCCCCTATATATAGTGAACAAACAAGTAATCTAAAACTATAATCAAAAGTTATATCGTGAAGTGTGCTGATATATTCTAAGTATCTTTAGATATGACGAGTATTGTATTGAGAGTTCCATCGTAAAGAAGACAAATTATTCGTGGTGTGTTTCATCAAAAAATCTTATTGTTTGCTTTCCTCATAGTTGTCTCAGTATGATAGTACTATCTTTTTATTTGAATGAGAAACCAAGCTTGCAATTTTAAAAAGTTCCTTGCCCAAAGCTCTAAATTTGTGTCATTAGAATTTCCAACACTTGAGAAATGGTATTATAGAATAAATTTTTACCTATTTTGATGGGTTATCTTCCATATTTCTACTACTTAGAAGAACTACATGGACAACAAATCTATAATATATAATAATCCAAAAGGCTGCAGCTTGGGCTGATGTTTTCACTCTCAAATGTATACCAATAATATTTTTTAATTAATTGCATGCAATAAAATCGACAAATTTGAGTCATGACCTTCTAGGTAAGTCCTTCCATCTCTCATATTTGAAAAGCTTTTTAAATTGGGATCCTAGTATCGTATATACAAAGTAGCTACTAAATACTTCTCTTTGAAAAACCAAAAAATCTTTTTTTGTCTCAAGTCTTGAGCAAGTTTAAACATAGTTGGTAGCATAAAACTAGGACTCGCAATTCTAGACCCGACTCGTGAAACTAACACGAATTTAGTGAGTTTAGGTGTAGTTTTAATGAGCTTAGGTGGTTAACAGGTTAACTCGACAGACCAGTGAAATAAATGAATCGATTTCGTGTTAAACTCATAAACTTGTTTAAACCCATTAACAGTGGAACTATAATTTTTTTTTTAAAAAAAGTTAGGTCTCTCAACATCTATCTCATCTCACCCAAATTTAGTAGTCATTTAATGTTTATTTTTTGTCTTTATTTTTTTGCTCAACAATGATTTATTGTTATAGTAAACAGGTCAAACAAGTGTAATGTGTAGCAAGTTGATGATTTTTCATGTATACTCGAAATACTCTAACTTATTATCTTATTTAGTGGGTGACACACGGATTGTATCGGGTAACCCGTTTAATAAATGATTTGTGTATGGGTGTGATAGTTGCACTCGTTTATATAAACGAATGGTGTATGAATGGAGGGTTTTTTAATACAAACCAGTTCCATCCGACATGAAATCGTTTCATTCGACACGATTGTTAGGCCTACATAAAACAAAGATGATTGTATTTTCAAATCTAGAATACTTTTAGAAAACTTCTGTAATATCTATAAATTCAATATGTTTTATCAAGAAATCGGAAGCTAAACCAAAATATCAACACCTTACCTCAGGAGTAGTATTCATCGAAAAACTTATGTATTATTTTAAGGGGGGAAAAAGGTGCAAGAATATTGAAAAACTAGAAAAGAAAATTAATGGCATGTACCTTTTGTAGTTTTTGAAGTTAGTTTCAAGAGACATTGAAACATCAATCAATTGGGCTTCTCCAAATGATAAAAATGTGATAAACATTTTCCCATTATTTATTAGAATTCATACTTTTTTAAGCACTAGTTGGTACACACATGCGTTGCACGTGACCTAGGTTGAAGTATAATTTTTGTTTATGCGGTTTAAGATTTGTACTATTCAAGTATGAGTCATGTTTCAACTTTATTCTTGAAATTCCAATTGGAACAATCAAGTCCTTAATGTTTTAATTGATTTCAATACCAAAGCAATGTTTTGCAATTTTTTATTTTTGGCATTTCAAATTTAAAATAAAAATATTGTTGTTGAATCAGATCTCGACATGAGGTGCACATCTTGTTGAATATTTTTCAACCTATTTATTGAAATGGTTGATTATATATGAGCCACATTTTAGGCCATTTGGACATGAGTTTGTCTTAGTTTCAAACCAATGCTAGCCCACCATGTACTTATACTCATGTTTTTTTTTTATCTCTTGTGGCCAACATCTCAATTTCTTATGTCAGAGACATGCTTGCTAATTTCTATCACACCCACAAAATGAATAGCAATTGTTATTGTCCCTCGGTTGGTGCCACCTTTACTATCATAGATGCTATGCAGCCAACATGGATGGGCTCAACTGTATGAGTGTGCCCCCACCACTGTCTTGAGTGCTGTACATTAACTATTCAAGCCATATCTTCTTTGTATAGAGATCTATTATATTTGATCTTATTATAATTTGTGTAATTGGAGTGGCTTTTATGTATTAAGGGTGGGATGAGTTTATCATAGAAGGATTCATGTTTCGCTTCTTCAAGTGGTTCCTTGAGTTTTTGCCAAGAATTGAACCCCCTGTTGTACCTATGTGGATTTCACTTCCTAGGCTTCCAATCCATTTGTTCAATAGGAAAATTTTAAGGGATATACTAAGTCTTGTGGGGCGAATCTTGGTGATTGATGTGCCTACTTTGCAATTGATCAGACCTGGTATAACTAGTGTTTGCGTGGAAGTTAATCTTTTAGCTGATAACCCTAGCAGGTTTTGGTTAGATATGGGAGGTGCTAGTGGGAGGTGGCAAATGATTATATATGAAAAAGATTGCGAGTACTGTGTTGTCTATTTGAAACATGGGAATGATGTCCAGAATTGTCAAAAAAGGAAAAAAGATGAGGGTAGGTTGGATGGACAGAATGAAAATGATGTGGTTTCTGATATTGGAGGGATTATAGAGAAGGAGGGGAGGGATAAACAAAGTGAGTAGGGTTGACAAGTAGTGAAATGGAAAGGGACCATTAAAGGGAAAGCCAAAATTGATAAGGGAATTTTGAATCCAGATTTATTGAAAGAGAGCAAATAAGGTAGTGAGGTATCTTAGAAGGAGACATGGTGTATTGTAGAGGAGGGGGAGCATTCTAGTAAGGATTTAGTATCAGATTCTTTGGAGATTTTGGTGGAAGGAGGTTTATGCCCTAGCATTCAAGGCCAAAAGGCTATGCAGGAAGAGATACATCATTATGAGGAAAATTTTTCTCCAAAGTTTGGTTGTTAGCTATCTAGTTTTGATGAGAGTGGTAAGTGTTTGGAGAAAGAAGCTGTTATAGTTCCTAAGACTTTGCAGGGGGCAAGAGGGTTGAGGCTCTAAAGATGGAATATGATGAGGTTTTTAAGGTAAAGTAGACTAATGAAGTTATTATGCTTTCTTCTGAAGAAAACAGTTTGAGTTCTAAGTTTGCTAAGGTTGATAAAGTGAAGGAGGGGGAAGACAGGA